AATGACTGCTGCAGCTGAACCCAGGACAGGTGCTTACCAACCCTCACTATTCTATGATTCTATGTTGCTACATTCAAGCTGCTACGTTTCAAAAGCCCAAAGATAAATTTAAGAATCAAACCATTACAAAAGCCCAAAGATAAATTTAAGAATTAAACCGTAACTTAATAATGCTGTTCCTACATCAACTGGAGCTGTTTAAATAAACAAAATGTGCATATTGTCAAACAGTGCCATCTGCTGATAACTTAGTATCTCTGCTCTGATGTTTATTGAAAACATCTTTTTATTATTTCTGCAAGGCTAGAACTGATTAATCAGTTTAAAAATATAGCTGTGCATTCACATGATTTCAAAATTTGGCTGAAACAAGACTCTCAAGGAATTTTTCTTTAGTCCTTAAGCTTCTACTCCATCTTAGCTTACTGTGTAAGCTTCTACTCCATCTTAGCTTACTGACACAGTAACAGGTAAAACTTGTTACTGTATGACAGTATTCAAGAAAATTAAAAAAATTTAAACAAAGAATATTACTTATAATACAATATAATACATTAAAATACAGCTCTTTGAAAATTCATTAGAAAAATAGGAATTGCTAACCATACATACCTTAAATACAGACTTTTATATGGGTGAACTTATAACAGAGGACGTTGTAGTTTACTTCCCCAATAGTACACATTATTTTAATTTTGTTTACCTGTAGAACGTTTTTACTTTGTTGTATGGCAAACATCTAATACACTGCTTGTAGATCATGTTCTCATCTGTCTGTAGTTCCAAACCACATTTAGCACAACCTGAATATGTAATCATAGGCAGAGAAGCCAAAACACACTCCAGCGAAGTGTCAGCACGAAAGATGAGCTGCTTATAGTGACCAGTTGAAACAGTAAACTTCAGTTCTAAGATACGGGCTTTCAATTGAATCTCTCCTACAAAAACAACAATTTCAATTAAATCTGCATTCAGTTTTATTTATAACTGAAATCAAAAGCACAGGTTAAAGCTGATTCAAAACCAAAATCATTATCAGTATTTTTTTTCCTTAGTAGAACATGTTAATGTTTTAGAGATGATTTATGCAATGAAAAAATCATTGTGGTTAAATAGTATTTTAAAATGCACAAGAATACTACATTTTCAGGCATTATTCTGGTAGATGCCACTATAAAGAGCCTGAACAAGAGATCAAGGTATTAGAATTCTGCAAATAATTTCCAATTGCTTTTCTTCCACACTAATTCAGCGACACTGAAAATCACAGCTTTAACAACTTAGCTTTTCACTTTTTAGACATAAACTAGAGTTAAATGCTGCAATACCAACTCCATTTAGTTACTTCTTAATGTTTAACACTAACCTTGGCAATCTTCTACTTTACTGCTTGTGTAAAATGTGTTCTTTCGTAACATGTTTTCAATAGCAGTAGCTATTTTACTCTCACTTTAGAGAACTCCAGTTTTGGAGAAATACTGTTCAACGAACTTTCAATTATTAATCACATCATTACTAGACTGGTTGGTGTGGACAACAAAAGGCAGCATTTCTCCCCATGTATCCAAAGCCACATATCACACCTATCTTGCCTCTGGCCCCACTGAATGAGGCTGCAATCACAGTTTGGCTGGGTACTGAGCACTAGCAGCCTCCAGAATAAATTCAGACTCCCTGAACTGTGATAACTTTAAAAAAAATGAAATACACCAAACAAAAATAGCAGTATTTAAATTGATCAGCAGAACATCTATTGGACAAGGGGTAATGGGTTCAAACTTAAACAGGGGAAGTTTAGGTTAGATAGAAGGAAGAAGTTCTTTACTCTGAGGGTGGTGAGGCACTGGAACAGGCTGCCCAAAGAAGTGCCAAATGCTCCATCCCTGGCAGTGTTCAAGACCAGGCTGGACAGAGCCTTGGGTGACATGGTCTAGGGTGAGGCATCCCTGCTCATGGCAAGGGGGTTGGAACTAGATGATCTTAAGGTCCTTTCCAATCCCAATCATTCTATGATTAGTTCTGCACTGCACAACAGACATTACACAGCTATGGATAACAGCTTTACCTGAGCACTTTTCCTCCAAATGTGCCGAGAGCTTTGTCACCTGCATGAGGGATGTTTTGCTTTTCTGAAACTTCTCTTTAAATTCAATTGCCCTCCTGTCATCATCAAACAAGCACTCACACGATGACCATGGAGTTGTGTGCAGTTCAAAATCACCTGAGATAGAACTATGCTGCACCAGAAGGTATTTAAAGTCCCATATGTGATCTACAGAAAGAAAGAAATTAAAAAAAACAACCACAAAACCAATAAACCAAAGCCAAATAAACAAACAAAAAATTACCAACAAATAAACCCCAGAAGAGTTTACTTTCTATACCTTATTTAATTTGTAGAAAGCCAAGGTTACTTACAAGACTGAGAAACAAATCAGCAAGACATTCTCATATGGTCAGTTCTGGCAACTTCATTTGAAGCCTGATGACACTTAGGGTTTTTCTTTTCCCTATAAACTTTACATGAGTCCTCCCATAACAGAAGGATGCTTTTATTTCACCTAGACTGAATTCAGCTTTCAAGACAACTCAACTTTTTGAAAAAGAAAACAGCTACGAAATTTCCTGTCAGCTCTAATAAAGAAAAGTTGTCCATTATTAGAAGAAGCCATCTTTATGTTATTAATCAACTTTCATCTTTAATATGTCCCTGTTTTTTAATTTTCTATCTCCATAATGCTCTGATTTAAAAATAATTAATTTTCCATATTCCAGTTGACACTAAAGAAAAACAGCTTAAAACTTGAGATCACAGAAGAGTAACATAATTTAGGTTGTCCTTCACTTTATTGTAAGAATCAAGTATTCACCTACTAATAAAACTTGATAACTATTTAGGCTGTTTTTTCCCATGTTTGCTCAAGGTGAAAGTTGCAGCCAAAATAATTGGTTTTGGAAGTAAGGTTAGAAAAATACACATTTATTACTTTTTGTTTAATGTATTCTAGTGTCTCTAAGTATTTTATTAGCATATATTAGTAGTTCCTATTTTTGATTAGTCTGATTTTTGGTGGTAACTTGCTAAAAGTGCAAGCTCCTGAAAAATCTGCTGTCAGACACAGATTTACAGTAAAAAACTCCAAAATAACTTCTCCTCTAAGCAGCTGCATACATCTCATATCTGACTAAAGATCTTGCAGCCCCCCAAAACTGAGTATGCTCTGGTACAAAGCAAAGTTCAGGCAGTAACACTACAGCAACACAAAGAAAAATCTTAACAGGAGGAAACAAACAGGCACTTGGCAAGAGGGGATACATGGAAGTAGAAGACAGTCTAACTGGGGTACAAGATTTGGTCGAGACCTGAATTTAACATGTTATTCAGATCTTTGATATTTCTCTGTTGATTAGAAAACTGATCACAAAACATGAGTAAACTACAAGTAATCAAGTTTAGAGAAACGTGTATAATGAAATAAATCTTTCCTTTTTGGTAATCTAAACCAGATAAGCGTAAAACATGAACTGAATGCCTGATGACTGTATACTGGACTGATTTTTAGCAAGAGATGAAAAAATAAATATAACTTACCAGGAACAATTTTTAGATGCTCTAGAACTGCATAGTCTTATGCACTTAAAATATGTGGACAGTTCAAAAGTTAAAAGCCAGTACACACATACACAACCAGCAAACACACAACACAGCTGTGCTGTTCATGGTTAGTCTGTGATTAAGAATTTGAACAGCTGAGGAAACACTCATCTTGAATTTCCGATAATCCCTTAATCATTAAAAGGCCACCTCCTAGATGCATAGTACACTAGTTGGAAAATAAGGACACAAGCTTTGCATCAAATACACTTATTATTACAGAGCTCTCCATCCTATACTTTCCTGCTTTAAGCATTAGAGAATGTTGTATTATCGTGTCTGAAAAATTACCTTTTGTATCTTCTTTTTGTAGCTATAAAAATATTTTAAATTCCATATCTTGAAAAGTCTAATATTCTAGCATGCTAAATTCTCTAAGACTTCTAAGCACCTAACAAACATTATACGCCTGCTCACACTGAAGTATGCACAAAAATAAGGTCCATGTAGGTATTCTGTATTAAAGTCAATTGGTTAATGCTTAAATTGGACCATCTTCTTCAAGTAGCCTAAGAGGTAGGTCTTGCAGTTAAATGATTACTTATAGATCAAACTGGAACTGCTAGTATTCAGACACATACATTTAATAAGAAAAGATTCACTATGAGATTGTTTAACCTTTCTGGGTTTTATTTTGCACTATACAAAACCTGGCTTTTTAGGCAGAAATATTCAGCACTTCAACTAATAAAGTGTTTACTTCCTAAGTGTATCCATTGATCAGAAATACAAACTGTTAAGTTATCAATTTGACACAAACCTAGTTTCACATATTTTAAAAGAACAAAACCAGGAATAAAATGAAATTCAGCAGTAGTCACTGCTAAAACACAGGCTATGTAATTCTTGCAAGAGATGCTTTTAGTCAGTTACAGCTAGACTTGAAGCAACACCATTAGGATATAAAGTCTGACACTAGTAAAATGGAAGGCAGCAAATGAAAATCTGAAGTAGGAAAAACAACAATTCGTGCTAAACTAGACAACAATAAAGTAGACTCAGCAGAACTCATAACATAGTTAACATTCAAGGGTTTTTTATAGTTAAATAACTAGGCATGTTGTGTCTGGATTCAAGTTTTAAACACTCATGCTTTATCAGTCTTCTGAAGTGAGTGCATTCAAATGCTGTTGCTGATGGCACTGCTTCCAAGCAGAGAAGACATGTTACAATCTGTATCAAATATGTTGTATTTCCTAAGGGAGTATTTAAAGCTTGCATGGAAAACTGTTACCAGCTGAGCATTTTGAAGATATTAATAGCAACACAAAAATCCTTTTACAGCTACCTATAGCTACAAGGACCTTACCTTTTTTCCTTTGAAGTTGAGGGTACCAGGCAGCCCCTGCTCCCCACAGCACCATCTTATAGTGTTGACCTCTGTTCTGTTCTACCGTTAGAATAATTTTTCTTTGATTGCCACCTCTGTAGCTATACACTGATTCTGAAAAAGTTTGAAATTATATGACTTCTACAGTACAAATCTTACAAACACAGAAAACCCACACACCTCTATTAAGATAAATTCATGCTGCTATCTCGTTTTGTAGTATAAGGAAAAAAAAACACCTAAAATTTCTTCAGGCCAGAATGAAAGTAATCTGATTTCTTCTGCAAGATTAATCTAGTTTGAAGGAATGCATAAAGTATATTATTTTACCTTTATGCATCTAAATACTCAGCAACTGGATACCTCCCTTTGAAACAGCAGGTATCTAAGAATCTTTCAGCTCCCACTCATCCTCACCAGTATAAGTGGAAAGAAATACTCAATCTCTCAGCAAGAGACTGTCATAATTGGAAGTTAAAGTTCCTGAAACTTCTGTGGAATACACTAAAATATTTCTCTAGAATTTTCACATGAAAGAAAATTATAGTCACATACAAGCAGACCAAGAGGATTAGTAACAGCACACAAATCAAAACAATTAAGATCTCTACAGCATTCTTACCCAGGATACTGCCTGAATGTTTCAGCTGCACACTAAAACTAAAATATTTTCATAAACAGATACATTTTTGAACAATAACTCTTTAGGTATCTAACAATTCTGGTGTTATGTACAATAATGAAGATTTCTTCGTATTTTTCTTCATATATTTCTTCAATATTCTTCATATTTCTTCATATATTTCTTCAGAGTTCTCCATTTATGATGAATAAACATGATATTGACAGTGTGGCTAACGCATGATGCTAGTGCAGTATAATCAAATTTATGTGCAAAGCTTGAAGTCAACCACTAAGAAACAGCAGTACTGTAAAGAAAAGATGATCAAAACAGTTATGCAGGGAAAAGACAGGAAGACTCCTTTTCCAGGTGGGAACAGTGGTCTTTAACTGCCCAAAGCTTGTTAAAAAACATGGCAGGAGACTACATGAAATATTGAGAATGCCAAGATAATTTGGCTTTGTTTATTTCGGAAGGGGGAGAAGATGCTAGGAAGCAGCTGTAAGGCCTGATAATGAATGGAAATAAATTATCAATTTTAACATGGAAAATTTTCAGCAGGAGGAATTCTGAAATAACTGCATTCACTATTAGAAGAAAATGAATGTGTGACAGAAGGATAAGCTCAAAAAAAAAAAATCAGTATATGGACTACTGGTCATGATTCGTTGGGGGAGAGGAGCCTTTACAATAAAAACATACAGGAAACAGATTTCCAAACCAAATTATATTAATGAACTAGTTCTCTGTTGTGCCTGTGCAGAAGAAACAGGAGTATCATGGTAGGACATCTTAGTTTCACACTGAGCATTTTCCAGTGTTGAAAATCAAAAAGAACTTATATAAGAAGGGCACAAAAGTATGGAGTATTAAAGAAATATTGCATGTATTTAAGAAATCACGAATGCTTAGCTTTAAAAAACCTATTCCAAATAGGAATAGAAAATAGAAACAAATATTCTGAACAAAACAATATAAAAGAGCACAGTTCAATTATAAAGTAAGAAAGGCAAGCACATCCTAAAAACATTAAAATAATCAAAAATGTATTTAATTTTGAAAACCACATAATTTATAAGTGCCATCAAGTGTTCTTTTAATGACAGAATGCTTACATGGAAGGTGGCAGGTGAGCTTTGACTGCCTCACATGACATTTTCATAAACTAGGCCCATTTCTTGAGCAGTGGTCTACAGTGCTAGTGTGCATTAAACTCATTTCAGCAACTGACCACAGCCATTATTCCCTTCTTCTCCCTAGCTCCATTTCTCTGACTGCTATGCCCCCATGAGCGGATCATTATATCACCTGCGACTCCCATGTCAAACACTGGTGCATGGAATGGGAAACAAATAGTAATTTTGCAAGGTGATTCTGGTTAAGTTTTACCTATTGTTGAAGTTTCAGAAGTTGAAGTCATTGGATGAACTTACCTGTTAATATGGCAATGTTGATAATTTTCAAGATTGAGTGAACCACTGTATTCGGCTGGAGCTGGTCCAGCTGCATATACTGAATACTATCCAGCCTCTGAACTTGTCTTCTCGGAATGTCTTTGAAGTGTGGAAATTCTGATGCTATGTATGCCAGTAAGCCATGGAGAACACCACAACCTACTATGGGATAAACTTATTGGGAAAAAAAACCAAAAACCAACAAACCAAACTCAAAGTTAGAGGGACACCCTTTTTTTTTTTTTTTTTAAGCTTAGAAATATAAATGTATCAGTTGGTGCGTATTTACACTGACAAAACCAAAACCATTTCACAGCAGTTCTATGGCAAAAATTCTTAAGATGTGTAACACTGGATCCAAAATTAAACTGTACTTCATCTGCCTCCTCTTGATAACATCCCAGAGTTAAGCTAAGTAAAGTATTTTTAATTACACCAAAAATAGGAAAGAAATCTTGTACCATAGCTGGGTAAGAGTAGCTGTTCTTGATCTTTTTACTTCAGAACCTGCCTTAAACAGCTGGCAATAATGGACAGAAGACAACAGTAAGACAGTAAGAACAATGCAAGTTTATGGTGATACTTCAACTGGTATTTTCCCTTAGGTGCCAACCCTCCATGGCTCATAGATTTAAAGACTTTGTGCTTAATAGCCTGCAATCAATTACTTTCCCTGAGTGGATCTACTTTAAGCCTCTACAGTTTTTGGCAAAAAAACATTAATCCTCATGAAATCTCAGACATCTTATGGTTGAGTCCTGGGACAACTGCTCACTCCTAGGTCAAAAAATTCAGTTTTCTCAGAATCTGGAGTTTTGAATGGTGACCAGCCAACATTACCATAAACTCCACATGCTTATCTGCTGTCATCATGTCCACATATTCCTGTCATACTTCCTAGGGTTTTGTACCTCTCAGTTGCTCGCATTTCCATTTCATCCTCTGCATGAAGCATTGCGAACAAAACTGAGTACTACATATGAAATATAATATATAAAATAACTGTATAGTACAGCTATTTTACTGTTATTTTTGTGGAAACTTATGCACTATCATCTTACATTCTTCTGGATTGAGGGCTGAGCAGTTCCCCAGATTCAGTAACTGACTGCTAAATGTAGACTGCAGCATGATTTCTCCACACCAAAGATTCTCATACATTATTATATCTGCAAGAAAAAAAGCAATCTTATCAGCTCATGTATCAATACTATTGAAGTGTGTCATACTTTTCCTGACTATAGAACCATCACACATACAGGTGTGAAAGACAGTTCAAAAGAGGTCACTTGGAAACAAAGTGATTTTTTTTTTCTTTTAATCTACCAACACCATTTACAATGAGTTAATACATTTTCCTCAGTAGTTTGAGGCAATTCTTCAATTCATATAAAATATTCAGTAGACTCATAGCAGGTCAAGTGGGTGACTGTATTGGGTAAATTATATTGCCCTACGTTTCAGAATGAGTAATAAAGTACTAGGCCTACCCAGAAACACTTTTGATGTATTTTGAGATAAGAATGTCTAAGCAGAAAAGAAAAATCCCAATTTATCTTCAATCTCTTTAAAATATCTACCCTTGTACCTACCTATAAGCACTTAAAGAACTCTTTTAACAAAAAGAAAATGGCATCTTAAACTGTAAAAGTATTCAAACACTTTTATATGGGGGTGGTGGGGGTGCGTGTTTTTGCTTGTTTGGGGGGGTGGTATTTTTTGTTTGGTTTGGTTTCTGGGATTTTGGGTTTGGGTTTTTTGTATTTTGCAAAACCTAAATAGCCAGATCAGTATCAAGTTCTGGCCAACTCCAGCCCTAAATTAGGTACAGGATCATTCTACAGTATTGTGCTCTCTTACACAAGATGTGTTCTCTTAAAGAGAGTTTTGCATCTGTTGGGATAAAGAGTACAAAGGACTTAATAGGAGGAAACTTCACTATTACAGACAACAGCATTTTATATTTCTCAGAACAAAGACTATACATAAGAGATGTGCAAACTTCTATGGTGCACTTGATGCTCCACTGGCAGGAGGAGTGATAATTCAAAGTGCTGTTGAATGATGTGATGTAAGAAAGATACCTACAAATGCTTGGCTATGGTTACATATTGTTCTACTTTAAACAAGCGTTTTAAAGATCCACATATTAAAAATGCAAATAACAATTCTCACCTGTAAGCAGTACAATATCCCCAGGAAACACAGTGAGTGACCAAAATGCAGCACCACGCCACAGCACCACCTTTCTCTCAATTTCTGACTGGTCAATAACTACAACTGTTGCTACAGGAACTTTACACGAAGATTTTGGTCTAGTCTTCACCTGTATTTCTTTGATATGACAAGGATGTACAATTGTGACCAAAACATTGTACTTCTGATTTTTGCAGCAGCAGTTCTTAAGTGGTGTTAATTTCTTTTGAAGTTTCTTGAACTCTGTCGTCCTCTCTTGATCCACTCTCATCCCAGGACCAGCTGGACAAGAATTAAGTTTTGCTCTCTCAGATTTCAGCTGTCTTTTAAATGATGAGTGAAAATTATGAAAGAAATCTTCACATTTGTGGGCTTTTTTAGAAGAACTCTTATGAGAACTGTCTACTTGAGAGCACAATATTCCTGAGCTCAATGGTTCAATATGGATTTCATTTACATGGAACATTAAGTTCCTGAAACGCCTCTGTATTTTCCTGAGCACTTCCTTCTTGTTTTGCAGCTTCCAAGAAAATATTTTTTCCATCAATCTCAGAAATGAAAAGTTCAGGAGAACTTGTACACTCTTCCTTATATTCGTTTTCAGCTACATTGAGACATGTTCCAACATGAGAATCAAGTTGGAAATGATCATACTGCCTTGCATCTGGTTTTTTGCCTGCTTCCGTTTCCAGTAGTTTTATGAATCGCTTCTGCATCTCACTCCGACCCTGTGCAAAAACAGCCATCTGACTTGAAGTCATTATACTACGAAATTCAGTATCTGTCGACACTGCAAAGTCTGGACAATCACTCGATTCTCCTTTTGGTTTTGACTCTTGATTTTGGGGGAAGAAGACATCCAAATACTGACTCAGGAGTTCATGGTGATCACTGCTACAATCTGATTGAATACGTTGTCCCACAGACCTTAGATGCATGCTGATCTGCTTAGTACTGGCAACCAAATCGGAAATGTCAGAGCTCTTAACTTCTAAATGACCACCTTTTCCTTCAGTGAGGTCTGAACAACAGCCATGTGATATTTTATCTTGTCTAGCTAATTCTGCAAATTTTTGTGGAAGGTGTTGATCTGCAGCCCGATTTACATTTGCATTCATGCATCTAACTGTAGATATCTGACAATCAGAATAAATGCAACTTTCACTCTTTTTAGGTATGCTGGTACAAGCTACTGCCACAGGTTCAAGAGATGCCAAATACTCTTTTGCTACCATTAATCTCCCCTGCTCAGACTGCTGAGAGCTGTCATTTGTAGGAACTGCTGTTTCTGCCTGAAACACTAAGTGCTCAGCACCTTTGACTTTTTCAGAAAAAAGACCATGTGTATCACACAAACAATGGAGTTCTCTCCATTTTTCAGCAGCATGTGCTGATCTACTTTGTCCTGACACGTTTGGTGGGCTTGGAATACTGGGTGCTCCCACAAAGATATGAATTTGAGGTCTTTTTGACATTTTGGATTGCCGTGTAAGTTTGACTTTAAACAATGTGGTTTATGCAATAGGCACAACAGTAAACATTAGCAAATGCAAAAAAAAATATTTTGGCCTTTCTGAATTTAAAAATACCTAACATTCATGGGATCATTTCATAATTTAACTGGTAAAAACATTAATACTTAAAGCCCATAAAACTGAATGTACAAAATAAAAAAGAGGAAGCTATTTGTTGTGTCAAACTTGCATACATAGAAAAATACATTTACAGTACGGCTTAATTTCCGATTCTGATACTTGGAAATATAGCAGATGCAGAATTATAGTGAAGTTCAATTTAATTATTAAGCAGACTTATTGTCATTTGTTATTGCTAATTAAACAGCCAAATGTGACCTCAGTATTCAGTACTTAATTTTAATTCATGTGAAATAAATGCTTGTAAGGCCATTTATTCTTTAAAATTTCTCCTACAGTACGATTTTAAAATACTCAGCTACAGCTAGAAGTGTTCATTAAAATGCAGACACCTAGCTACATGTTTTGAGAGTGGCGTTAATAGAAGTTGCTGCAATAGGCAGTTCCGCAGAGGTAGGAAACAGAGCTCCAGAAATTAAATTCAAGAGCTAATCCAGCTGCAAACAGAAGAAAAAGAGCATTGAAACAAATACAGCATCAAAAAAGATTTAGATTTTTAATTTAGCATTTATTAAACTAACAAACATTTTCTAACAACCCACTAGAGTTCAGTAAATCTGCACATTCATCAAGCTCATAGTAACATGGAAAAACTACAAACATTCTGATCACTGACAAAGAGGTCTAGTACAGGTGTAACAGGAAAAGCAATATACAACTGCCAAAGTTAAACATATCATGTCATAATTCCAAGAAACTACAAAACACAGCACTGGTATCACTCAGTTTTATGCTCACTGCAAAACAAATAATACTTAAAAGACTGCTATGTCCAAACTTCTGCAATTGTATGTTTAAATAAATTTAGGCTCACGAGAATACAATTTCTGGAGGACAATTCCCATACTTGTGAAAGGCTTAAGTAACATAACTAAGCTGGGGCTGTTCAGCCTGGAGAAGAGAAGGCTGCGTGGAGACCTCATAGCAGCCTTCTAGCATCTGAAGGGGGCCTATAAGAATGCTGGGGAGGGACTCTTCATTAGGGACTGTAGTGGTAGGACAAGGGGTAATGGGCTCAAACTTAAACAGGGGTAGTTTAGGTTAGATAGAAGGAAGAAGTTCTTTACTCTGAGGGTGGTGAGGCACTGGAACAGGTTGCCCAAGGAAGTTGTGGCTGCTTCATCCCTGGCAGTGTTCAAGGCCAGGTTGGATGGAGTCTTGGGTTACATGGTTTAGTGCGAGGCATCCCTGCTCATGGCAGGTGGGTTGGAACTAATTTTAACTATCACTTTTGGTTTCTGTCATGTTTAAAGATTAGTAAGTTATACACAAATTCAGAAAGTTTTTCTTAACTTTCCAATTCTACAACTTCTCTAAATTTAGGATTTTCTTTTCTGATTCATATTTTGCAGTGCAAGCATATTACATCAAAGCAATTTAATCTTGATGTTATTCAATAAATTTTTGCAACTAAAATATTTATATTTTCAAATCCTAAAATTCACATTTTTCCTTCCTACCTTTATTTAGAGTTTAGGAATGTTATGTGACCTCTACCCGCTTCCTGTTTCAGTTAACAAGTCCACTATCGAGTAACTTGCTTTGGCAATTTCTGAGCTACCTTTTAGGTTAAAGATACCGAACTCCAGTACCAGGAATCATCAATACTTATCATTTAAGTCTGTAAATCAGAAATAAATTAAAGTTTGGGTAAATTCTCTGTCTGTAAAATTGTTTAAGAATCTTTGCTATGCTTTTTTAGAATAGTATTATTACTTATTTAATTAGTTTTGTTACTGAAGTTGTGCCTTGTTTTAAAGAAAAAAATCCAAAAGTACAACTTATTACAGATCTTAGAAGATGAGCAAAAACTATCATATTAGCAAAATGTCGCAGCAACAGAACTAATATATTTTTGTGCTGCAGTTAAATTAGTTATGGGTAGACAGGGGGTTAACTACACCAAAGATAAGAGGAGCTAAAGCTCATAAAGGTATAACTGAAACCTGAATGCACATATCCATTATACCTGTTAATTATTACACCATTTCTTCATTTGTGGAAAGGTGTTCTATTCATAATAGCCAATGAAAGCCTAGCTTTTTATCTTTGAAATGGTCAGAGTCTGATCTATTAAAAAACAGCAACTACATCAGCAAGTTTTACATTTGCAAGACACTGTTTAATATACCTATCACAAGAAATATTATGTATGGTACATAGTGTACTTCCTCTGATCTAAACAGTAGAAATTTCTAAATTTTCAAGGTTTTTAAAATGAACAACTATGTCATTAGCAGAGATTAACTCTCCAGTCATTTGCTACACATAGGACAAAACGAAAACTAGCTTTACAAATCCTCTTCCAATAGTTAAATACTCTATGAACATTGTGCTATGCGATATATATGGCCCTAAATTATCCTAAAATACCTAAGAAGTATTCATTTTCATTCCATATTTCACTATTCACTCACCATGATAATCAGTTAAGCATTAGGCCAAAGTAATTTAAAAAGGGTGACACAGCTTCCGCTTCCTATCACTCCTTAATATTAATGGCAGCCAGATGCTTAAATCCCTGGTTTTAAAAGTTACATACAAATATAGTTTCATCAAGTCTTTACTCAATCCCTCTAACACTGAAAGCAAACCACACTAATTCTACCTTGGGGTAAATTTCCTTATGCCTGTTAACATGCTACAGCTTCAAGCTACAAATAAAATTACACAAATAAGAGACAACAAAGGACAAAGGATTAGAAAAATATAATGCAAAAGTGTAACTTCTTTTCCCCTCCAGAATACTCATACACCCCCTAGACTGATGTTTTTGGGGATAAAACCAGTATATTCCTCTAATTTGCACCTTTGATTTAGCACAGCTCAGTGATGAACATCCTAACCTGTAAGTAGTTAGTAGCTTTATTCCTACAGTATGAAAAAGCAATTCTATTGTCCTTTACCTGCTGAAAAGCTGGCCCTGTAGATAACAAATACATAAAGCAGGATATCCTTTAAATTCTACATTTTAACTTCTACTGTGAGCTTTCCTCTCCCTCATTTGCACACTTGATTTTATACTTCTATCTCTAGTACAAAAAAATAGAAGCACTGTTTCACTGACCTTACAACAGAAGAAAGTGAGTTAATAGCCATCTTCAGAATATTTACTTTCAGTTCAATCCAAGCTGTAGGGTTGTTTGGTTGAAGTTTTTAGTTCATCACATATTTTGGTAGAGTAGAACATCTACTAAGAACACTTGCCAACCAAAAAAAGAAAAACAGAAATAATCATTTCTCTTGACATCCCAGGAAACTCTTCTGGCACTTTTACCATGCTGATCAAAAATTCAACTCTGTCTTTTTAAAAGCCAGGTACTGCATCTGTACAATAACCTTGAAAAACTGAAGAAACAGCAAGCAGTGTACTAACAGTTTCAAACACTTAGGATCTGAAACAGCTCTGGGATGAAGTGATGAACACATTACACATTTGCTTGCAACTTGTACCAGAAAAGAGAAGGATGATCTTTATGCCAATAGTTCATGCTGGCACCAGCAACATCACCTATCCACCAAATCAGTAAGAACTTGGTTCAAAAATCTAAGTATTAAGAGGAACCCAATGGAAAATAAAAACTGCTAGAAATCAAGCTAAGCAACTCACATAGCTAAAGCACTCTTATTTTACTTAAGAGTGAGGGATGTATCATATTATCAGGCCTAAAAGATTATACCTTTACATGAGTGGCAGCTCAACAAGATTTAAGTAAATTGCTTTAGAGTAGGCTAATGGACCTAACAAGAAATCATAGAACACACATGTGGGAGAAAGTACATGTACATAAGGGCAACTGGGAAATGGACAGGACAGGTAGTAAAAAGTCTTATTTTTTTTCAACTTTTGTTTGGTGATGGCAACAATCACCAAATACCTTTTATCTAAATTTTAATACAAGCTTTCATGCAAAGACTGCAATCCTATCTCTAACTGATCTGTTTAACCAAAAGTAATTTTACTTCAAGATTGTTATTTGGCTCACATAATATTTCTGGAGCAGTGTGCACAGAAGCAGTCACCGGCCAGACACAGTGGTATAGCAAGAATCCTGCTAATCAATATCTAAATTTATGAAAATCACAAGCCTTCAACTGCCTACAACAGTACCTGTAATCATTAGTATAAAGTTATCTCTACATGCTATCTGAATGTAGACCATTAGTAATTTCTATTAGTACTTATTTTGTATATTATTCTATCTGAATGTAGACCATTATTGACCATAAAGTAATTTCTATTAGTACTTATTGTGTATATTAAATAGCAGCAATACTAATCCATTCAGTATTTAGTTCTTGTCACTCGCTATTACAAGGGGACTACAATACCTGTTGGCCTCAAGACAGGTACAGGTGCTTTACAAATACACAAAAGCTATATTCAGCAATATGTAGCCCTGAAATAACATGTATCCAAAATTTTTTTCGTTATCTGCAGGGCTTTCAGTAACAAAGCACTTTCAAATATGAAACACCTGTGATTTAGGCATTGCAACAGAAACCTTCCTAAATATTCCTGAAGCAGAAACAGGGAGATAACAGTTTAAACCAGAAATCTGTGTTTTGAGAAGTTCCACGCAGTCTGACACTTTTCAGAAGTTAAATCAAAATACTGAATAAAAGGCTAGAAACACTAAGTTGTTCTTTGTAACTATTAAAATAAACAACTAAGGCAAGCAATCAAATAGCACTGTTAACATTTAATGTGTACCTACTTGCTTGCAGGATCAAGGCCTGTGGTTTCTGAAGTTGTGCTCTAAATGGAATTTTTTTTCTTGATCTGAAATAAAGACATTTCTTCTGTAAAAATAAGCTTG